AATGTAGAGTAAGGTCCCCGCCTTTAACAGGAACACCGTCTTTTAGTTTGCAGACCAAGAAAGGGTCTGAGAGGACCTGCTGTCCCCAACCAGCAGGTATGGGCACCTCCTTCAACTGGCTTTTCACAACTACACTTTTATTCATAACCCTTTCCTGAACAACTTCTGTTAGTTACACTTTTACTGTTACTGTTTTGGACTCAGAAGAGTCTGGGAGGACCCGACTGCTTCTTCCAAGCAGTGAGTATGCGTACCTCCTATCCGGGCTTTGCTTACAGACTCTTACCAGCTGATTGCCCAAATCCGATTCTCTCACTCACTTTTCCATTCCATTTTCACACAGCCTCTCCCTTTTCCCTAACAAAAGATCCTGCGCTCTGGCCCAAACCCCATGCTTTCCAGGGTCTGTCACTTGAACAGATCCTTTCTGCGGTTAGGAAAGGCCAGAGGGAGCAAAATCCAACTGTGATTGGGAAAAGAGTCTTCTCACTTACACACACAGACATACACATATTTCCCTCACTCCCCTGGGCTTTAAAGTTAAAATTTAGAGGCATTCACCTTCTTTCCAAAGCAGCCCTTGAGCTCAAACTCAAAACTCCCTTTGCTACCCTCGCTCCAAATGGGCAGGGTCTGGGAAGCCCATCCACAGAAACAAGGAATCTGCTGCCGGCAAGATGGAGCTTACCAGTCACAGTCCACTGGAGAGGTTAGCTTGAAGTCCCATCCTGGGTGCCAAATTGTTGAATGAAAAATCTTCATCAGGGTCCAGCCCAAGCTGGGAATAAACAAAATGGTGACTGCTTTAGAAAGAAGGTTGTAGTTTATTAAAGAGCAAAGCCCGACAGAAGTGTGGCTCTGGGAAAGCTGACCACATGTAACTGGGAGCGATGGGTCTTTATACCTTCTTGGGTTTTTGAGGTTGTTTCCTGTTCCTGTGGCATGAACTTCGACCTGAGCTTTTGAGCATGTCCTTTTGGTGGTGGATTAATCCTATTGTATCCTAATGGTCATGTTTTAGAGTTTGGGTGGGGGGTGTAGATTTTAGGGGTCTTTGTCTTTCTAATCTCATCAACTTCTAGCTTCCTGGCTCCAACCTTTCTGAAATGATTATTGAATTTGCATTTCTACAGACCTGGTTTCTGCTGAGTTTCTGGCTGGGGAGAGGGAGAAGTTTTTGCCTTTTTAAAAGATCTTCTCCATTATTCCTTTGGAGAAACATATTCTGCCTTTTTAATATCGCCCAAAATATTTCTTTCTTGGAGGGGGGCTGACTTCCCACAGTAACCACATTACAAAAAAGATGTTAAGACTTTGGAAAAAGTGCAAGGAAGAGCAACTAAGATGATTTAGCCTGAAGAGTAAAATATATGAAGAACGGTTGCAGGATTTGGGTTTGGCTAGTCTAGAGAAAAGAATGACTGGGGGGAGGAGGGACATGATAGCATTATTCCAGTATTTGAGAGGCTGCCACAAAGAGGAGGGGATCAATTTATTTTTCAAAACAACAGAGAGCAGGGCAGAAAACTAATCAAGGAGAGAAGCAACCTGGAATTAAGGAGAAACGTCCTAACAGTGAGAACAATTAAGCAGCGGAACAGCTTGCCATCAGAAGTTGTGGGTTCATCACTGGAGGTTTTTAAGAAGAAACTGGACTTGTCTGAAATAATTTAGGGTCTCCTGCTTGAGACGGGGGCACGACTAAAAGATCTCCAAGATCCCTTCCAGCTCTATTCTGATTGATTAAAATATTTTTATACTGCTGCTCTTATGCTTGCAAGGCCTTACTACAGTTGAAAACATCCCTAAAAGAAGGATTGTAGAAGAGGTCTATGAAGTAAGATTATCCAGAAAAAGGTTTTTATCTTCAATTGTATTTTAGTGATCTCAATGGGTCCAGCAACTCAGTTGTTAAGTGAAACCATGACTGTTTTTTCTGTAGGTTCTTCAGCTTTCCTTTGCTTTAATCTGTGAAAATCATAAATGCAAGGAGTTGCTTTTTTATCACCATTGTATTGGTGAACTGTTGCTGTACAAAGCAGTTGCTAAATGAGGACTGCTATATTCCTCAATTGCAATATTTATGATTTCTCTGAGTCTCTACTTGGCAGGAAGATGTACTATTAATCCAAATGCTTCGTTAGCTGTTGGCTGGCCTGGAGGATCAAGTCATTTACATGGGTATATAAAGAACAAAATGAAATACCTTAAGATGCATGGAAACCATCCAGTTTCAGTATCGTAGAAACCATTAGCATAGCATCAGTGTTGTTAAGAATAATTTGCCACATATATATCCTTTTTAGAAGACAGTACCAAAAGATCATATTATAAATTGGTGGGAATAATAGGAACCACCGTACTGCTAGGTAGAAGAGGCTGTACAATAAATATTTACTATGTTGAAAAGGCAACAATTTGTCACATACCTCATTTAATATTCAGTTATTTTATTAAATGTGATACAAATGCATTTCCCCTCATTTGATTCTTTAAAATAACTAACACATGAGGCAATTGTCTTTTGTAATCCATGAACCATATGGTAAGATTGAAAGTGCATGTCAATTTCACAGTTGTATCAAACCAATTTTAAGGGGGTACTAGCAAAAACTGGGAGACATAAACAATTATATAAAATTGTATGATGAAATATAAGTATAGGATGAAGCTTTTACCCTATATTCTCTTATTCACAAAATGGATATTCTGTACCTGTAGAATTCTTTGGTACTTTAATAGCAATAGTTATGGGCAGTGGTGGGGTTCAAATACCTGAACAACCAGTTCTATTATATGATGCAGGCCTGGGCCTCCAATGCCTAGAACGGACTTATGGAAGAGGTATCCATGCACTTCCGGTGGCCCATTCTAGGCCTGGGAGGCCTCCGAGGCCTAGACTGGACTTCCAGAAGCCAGCCGGTTCTCCAAATTCAGATAAATTTAGCTACCGGTTCTCCCGAACCGGTGCGAACCGGATAAATCCCACCACTGGTTATGGGATCCTAGTATCATCTGAAATGTGAAAGTAGCTTGTTTGTTTGTTTAAATTATCTCTGCAATGTGCTTGTGTAATTCTAATAATATTTGCAAAGATAGTGTAATCTTTAATCGCTTTTAACCTTCTACAATCCTATCCATGGACTGCATCTTTATCAATGCACAATAATATATCACTTTCACAAATATCTGCAAAGGAAAACCTTTGAAAGAATTGGAGATAATTACTAATGGCTTCTATTTTATCTTAGGTGAGTTATTATTTTCCCTTGAAGACTCTCTGGAGATCTTTCTTTGCTGCACTTGTTGCAGCCTTTACCCTGAGATCCATCAATCCATTTGGAAACAGCCGCCTGGTCCTTTTTTACGTGGAATATCATACCCCTTGGTACATGGCTGAACTTTTCCCCTTTATCTTGCTTGGGGTTTTTGGAGGATTGTGGGGGACGCTTTTTATTCGATGCAACATTGCATGGTGCAGGAGGCGTAAAACTACTAGACTTGGAAAGTATCCAGTCATAGAGGTCATTGCGGTCACTGCCATAACTGCTATTATTGCCTATCCCAATCCTTACACACGAAGGAGCACCAGTGAGCTTATCTCTGAACTCTTCAATGACTGTGGAGCCTTGGAGTCATCGCAGCTCTGTGACTACATAAATGATCCCAACATGACTAGACCTGTGGATGATATTCCCGACAGACCAGCTGGTGCAGGAGTATACATGGCTATGTGGCAGCTAGCTCTGGCTCTGGTTTTTAAAATCATCATTACCATATTCACTTTTGGCATGAAGGTAAGTTGGAAAATCAAGCATAGTTTAAGAAATGTGATCACCTAAGATCTGATACACTGAAACAAATATACCATTACAGCAATAGCACTTACTCATATACTGCTCCATAGTGCTTTACAACACTCTCTGGGCAGTTTACAATATCAACATATTGTCCCAACAATCTGGGTCCTCATTTTACTGACCTCGGAAGGATGGAAGGCTCAGTCAACCTCTGATTGTGGACAGAGTTAGCCTGCAATACTGCATTCTAACCACTGTGCCATCAGAGCTCCTTTTTTTACTTATCCAAGTAAAACTAAGGGGAAGATTGCACTAAAAAGTATATCTATTTATACCACATAAAATAGAGACCTAAATTGTTTACATTAAATCAGAATCAGAATAGAGCTGGAAGGAACCTTCAAGGACCCTTAATAACAGTTGGTTCTTCCACAGTGAACTTGCATGGTTGCCCCGCCACAGCCAGGACTCACCCGGTTACTTCTTCATCAAGAAGCAGTCTGAGAGCATCCGGCTATTCAGGGGAGCAAGAGGGTTGATTTCCAGAGCTTCCCCTTTCCCTGGGAAGTTTCTTCTGGCTTAGAAACCGTTCTAAGCCTAAAACTGTGGAGAATCTGCAGGGACCCTTCTTTCGGTGGAAGTCACAGTTACTGTTTTTGAGCCAGATTTTGCCTAATCTGTACTATACCTTTGGTTTTTCTTGCCTACGTTAAAACCTTGCTTTTCTCCACATTAAATTTCATGTTGTTGGATAGGGCCCATTGTTCAAGTCTGTCAAGATTTTTTTTTGGATCCTGAGCTTGTCTTCTGGGGTATTGCCTATTCCTGCCAGCTTAGTGTCATCTGCAAATTTGATGAGTTCCTCTTCTATTCCCTCATCTAAGTCATTTATAAAGATATTGAAGAGTACTGGGCCTAAGATGGAACCTTGTTTTACCCCACTGCTTTCCCTCCATGTAGATTTAGTACCATTAAGGACATCTCATTGAGTACGGTTTGTCAGTCTGGTGGTGATGTTGTCTATCCCACATTTTTCTAGCTTACCAAGAAGTAGGTTGTGGTCTACTTTGTCAAATGCCTTGCTGAAGTCTAAGTATACTGTGTCCACAGCGTTTCGCTTGTCTACTAATTTAGTCACTTTGTCAAAGAATGAAATAAGATTGGTTTCACATGATCTGTTTTTAACAAACCCATGCTGGCTATTAGTTATAATTTTATTTGTTTCTAGATGTTCACAGATCTGTTTTTTGATTATCTTTTCCAGTATCTTCCCAGGGTTAGGGTTAGAGTTAGGGTTAGGGTTATTGGTCTGTAGTTTCCAGGGTCTGTTTTTCCCCCTTTTTTGAAGATGGGAACCACATCAGCTATAATAAATGCTTTTTCATATGATTTATTACTACTTATTTTTAGGGCTTTTTATTTTTGCCCTTATTTTCTTTTCAACAAATTTGTCACCCACAACTTCCATAAATTTGTAGGGCAAGTATTACAAATGTTTGAAGAACAATGTAGATATTATCAGATTATTTGAAATGCTGGACCACTTGCTAGTTCTAAATGGTTTAAATAGGTTGTTACTGAGACTGAGTGTTTGATGATAAATTCATCTGCAGATCACACTGGTTTCCACAATCATCCAATGTTCATCAAAATGACAAAACATGCATTGTGATGTAATGAAGAAGCACTACCTTGATAATGTCAAGTACAAGATTGATAATATGAATTATAGAATGTGGTTAAGATAATAAATCAGAGAATTATTGGAGATTTCAAACAATTTTGGACTAATGGCTTCCCACATCTACAGCAAAATGATAGTTGTCCCTACTTGCTGTAGTGACTGACTTTTAATAGCAAGTGAGAAAGAAAAATAATCTCTGTAAGGCCATTAGAACTTGCTTGACATTAATTTTAAGAAAATATGGTTCAAAAACAATTTGGTATTTATTTCTTTAGCAATACCACTGATGAGGAGAATCATAGCAGTAATTAAAATTGTTTATTTTTTCATGCTATGATTCCTTCATATGTTGTCTCTTCTGCTTTTGCTTGATTAATTGTTGTGAATGGCAGAATTGATACCTATTATAAGGACCCACTTCAATCCCACATCTTAAGAAAGCAGAACTCTTGGAGACGGTTTCTTCCAACAGGAACTTTTATTAAAAATAGTTGATAGCAGGCATAATAGACAGGATCTGAGGGATTCCTTTGATACTTTAAAGTGTCCCCAAGCAAACTCCACCCCATAGTTCATCAGGACAGTTCAGACCGCCCAATCCTCAGGTATTAAGTCCATCGAGGAAAAGGGGAGATAACATCGGTCCAGCTCCAGTCGTAGCATGATGTTCAAGCAGCTCTTCGCATCTCCTTTTGAGACTGGAGAAATAAGCCAGGCTCCAGAGGTTGTATTTCTTTCTCTCCCCCTTTTCCTAGCTGACAAGTTAGGGAGAAGAAAGTTCATAGAGAGATACAGTGTAAGGAAGCAAATTGTTACCTTGTAGTGGGCAGTGGACACAGAGGCAATAAACAAAGCAAAAGGTTACATTGTAGCGAATAGAGGAAGAGAAAGCAATAACCCTGTAGGCATATCCCCCCTCCCCCTTGGGAGTATGGCAGAATCCAGGGAAAAGTGAGATTTGTTTTTAGATCAGAGGAGATAGATAGAAATAAAATAGAAATGGGTTCTGACATCCTGCCCCCCTTAAAAATAGGAGAGATCCACCTGTAGAGAAAACAAAACAGGTATAGAGGTTAGTCTGGTTTGTTGGAATATTCTGTATGAAACGTCTTTAGCAGTTTAGGTGCTCTGATGTGCCGTTTATGGACCCACTCATTTTGTGAGGAGGGAAGGTGTTTCCATGCTACTAGGTATTGAGTTGCCCCGTGATATTTCCTAGAATCTAAGATTTCTTTTATCTCGAAGTGTTGTTCTCCTTCAACCATGATTGGAGGTGGTGGTGGGGGATTTTTGGCCGTAAGGGCGACTGTTGTTCTCGTTTCAGCAAGCTGCAGTGAAAAATTGGATGTATTTGCCTGAGGTTTTTGAGTAGTTCTAATTCTACTGTTACTGGGTTTATGATTCTTTTAATTGGAAAAGGTCCTATATATTTTGGGCCAAGTTTTTTACAGGGCTGTAGGGATTTTAGGTATTTTGTAGACAAATATACCATTTCTCCTACAGTGAATGGTATGGGTTCGACTCTTTTTTTATCCGTTTGTGCTTTGTATGCTTGCCTAGCTTCATCTAAGGCTTTCCTAACTACTGGCCAGGTATTTTGTAATTGTGCTATCCATTCTTTCAATGATGGGATTGCCGGTTCGTTTGGAATTAGTTCTGGCATAGGGTTGAAACTTTGACAAGTGGCTACTTGAAAGGGAGTGTAGCCTGTGCTGGAGTGGACTGCATTATTGTAAGCAACTTCTACAAAAGGGAGTAGGTCCGTCCAATCCGTTTGCTGGAAATTAATAAAGCATCTTAAGTATTGCTCAAGTACTGAGTTAGAATGTTCTGTCTGTCCATTACATTGAGGATGATGACTAGATGACAGTCCCTGAGTGGTTCCTAAGAGGGATAAAAATTCCTTCCAAAATTCTGATGTAAATTGCACTCCTCTATCAGATATGATTCGTTGGGGTGCCCCATGCAGTCTGTAGATGTGCTGCACGAATAGTTTCGCTAAGGTTTTTGCGGTGGGAACCTTTTGGCAAGGGATAAAGTGTACTTGTTTGGAAAACAGGTCCATAACCACCCAGATGACAGTGTTTCCATTGCTTTCTGGTAATTCCACTATAAAATCCATGGATGTTTCTTTCCAGGGGGCTGAGGGTTTGCCACTGGTTGTAACAGTCCGGGCGATTTCCCTTGCAACCTCTTAGCAGCTGGCCACGTAACTTTCTATGTCCTTTTTCATGGACGGCTACCAAAATTGCCTTTTAATTAAATGTAATGTTTTTATAAATCCAAAATGCCCTGCTGATTTTGTATCATGGCATAGCTGCATGAAAGTGACCCTCTGGGTGGTTGATATATATAACTTCTCCCCTACCCATGGCAGTCCGTCCTTGATTGTGCACACGTGTCTATTTTTCTGGAATCATTCATCTGTTTCCAAGTTTTCTGGAATTCAATTTCGGTTTGGCTACCCAGCTGCGGCTTTATTTTAACTTGGGCTCTGGTGGTTACTGGCGCTGCCAGTTGTGGTTCAGGCATGAGGAGTTTAGAACTGGTGGCTCGTGTGCTGTTATATTGGGGCATGGGAGACAGTACATCTGCCAGGAAGTTCTTCCCCCCCGGCAAGTGTTTGAGCGTAAAATGGAATTGGTGAAAATGCTGGGACCAGCGGGCTTCCTTGGGAGTGAGCTTCCTGGGTGTTTTTAAGGCTTCCAAGTTTTTGTGGTCCATCCAGACCTGAAAAGGGATTTTATTCCCTTCAAGTAAATGGCGCCACGTAAGTAATGACCATCTCATAGCGTATGTCTCTTTTTCCCACATGGCCCAGTGCTGTTCCGTTTCGGTGAGTTTCCTGGATGTGTACGTGCATGGTTGCAATACCCCTTTGTCGTTTTCTTGTAATAGTACAGCCCCCACTGCCACATCGCTTGTGCCCGCCTGTATTACGAAAGGTTTATCTGTGTCTGGGTGCCTCAGTACGGGTTCAGCGGAAAAAAGTCTCTTTAACCTCTCAAATGCCACTTGGCATTCCATTGTCCATTTTAGTGGCTGGCTGGGTTTCACTGAGGATTCCTCCTTCGTTTTTAGTAAGTTTGTGAGGGGCAGGGCTATTTGGGTGAACGAAGGGATGAACTGGCGGTAAAAGTTTGCGAAACCCAGGAAACTTTGCAACTGCTTCCTTGTGCAAGGTGGTGCCCATTCTAGTACTGCCCTGACCTTCTCGGGGTCCATTTCAGTGCCCTGTGGGGATATGCAATAACCCAGGTAGTCTATTCTTTCCTGGTGGAATTCACATTTTGATAATTTGGTATGTAGGTGGGCAGCTCGCAGTTTCTTTAAAACCATTCTGACTAGGTTGACATGCTCCTCTTTGGATTCGGTGAAGATAAGGATGTCATCTAGATAAACCAGGACCCCCTTAAATAGGTGCTCCCTTAGTACCTCATTGATTAATTGCATAAATACTGTGGGGGGCCCTTGTAGTCCAAATGGCAAAACTTTGAATTGGTAGCATCCCATTGGGCAATTAAGTGCGGTTTTCCATTCATCCCCTTCCTTAATCCTAAGGCGGTAATACACTTCCCTTAGGTCTAGTTTAGTGAAAATTCTTCCTTTCGATAGGTGTGATAACATGTCCTTCATGAGGGGTAGGGGGTATAGGTTATTTTCACTGATTGCATTCAGGGCGCGGTAATCCACGCACAAGCGCAAAGTGCCGTCCTTCTTCTCTTTAAAGAGGACTGGGGCAGCTACCTTAGGCTTGGCAGTTTCGATAAATCCCCTTTCTAGGTTTTTATTTATGAATCTTTCCATTTCCTCCTTCTCTTTAGGGCTCATAGAGTATAGTCTGGGCTTTGGGAGTTTTGCCCCAGGCTTGAATTCTATGGCACAATCCGTGGGACGGTGAGGGGGAAGTTCATCCGTCCACTCCTCACTGAAAACTTCAGCAAGGTCTCGGTATTCCTCTGGTATTTCAGGTAGCCCCCTTTCCTCTCCCACCGATGCTTTCTCCGTTCCTGGGTTTGGTAGGGCTCCTTGGGGGTTTAAATTTGCACGATAACCCTTCGGGAAATTGAGTTCTGCTGTCCTCCAATTTACCCAGGGGTTCCATTTCTTTAGCCACTCCAGCCCCAGGATCACTGGGCATTCCATGCCTGGGGTCACTACAAACGTTATGTCTTCCTTGTGGTTCCCCAGGGATAGGTGGACTGGTAAAATGGCTAGGGTAGCTGGCACCCCCCTGCTATGGACCAATCTAACTGGCCAAATGAGATTGGTTGTTTCAGCCTCCTCACCGGGATGCCCAAGTTCCCCACTAGCGTCAGGCTAATGAGGCAGCGGGTGCAGCCAGAGTCTATTAAGGCTTTCACTTTGACAGCTTCGGGCATGTCACTGTCTTGAGGATGGGTGCGATGGGTCCACTTATCAGGGGTTCGCCCTCTCAGCTGTCATCTGAGGTGTCCACCACCCCTGTGGTGTAGGCTGGAGTTCCCTCCCCATGCTTGGCAGGCGGTGGAGACTCCACAGCCTCTGTTGCCCTCATGGTGGGTTCTCTTGGCTTGGCTGGGGACTTCCCTGATTTCCTGACCCGTGATCGGTCTGGGTTGCGCTGAGGGGCTTTCAAGCAGCATTCTACGGCGCAATGCCGCTCTCTCCTGCATTTGAAACAGCCCGTTGACTTCTTGGCCATAGCCACTGGTTTCGCTGGCTCGCGTGTTGCCTCAGGAGGTGAGCGGCCCCATGGATTTCCTTGGTGGTGCCTCTTCAGTAGGTTGATCTCTGTCTTTCTGTGCCAGGACATACCATTCATTGAGTTGGCGTGGGTCCCCTCGAGGCAGGCAAACATCATACAGGTCGTAGTTTAGACCGTCTTTGAAATGGCTAAGGAGGATGTCTTCCGGCCAGATCAGTTTGTTGGCGAAGGCCTGGAATTCTTGTGTATATTCGGCTACCGGGCGTCTGTCCTGCCTCACCATTTTGATTCTCTCACGGGCCTTTCAATCAGCCAGGGGGTCCTTGAATCGCTTTCTCAGAGAGGACATGAAGCAGTTGAAGTTGTTGAGCTCTGGGGTGTTGGAATCATGCAGGTTCACCATCCAGTCTGCGGCCACCCCATCCAGAGTGAATTGCACGATACGGATACGGGCTTTGTCACTGGGATGTCCCATCCATATTCTTCCATGTAGCTAAGGACTTCAGTTAAAAAGAACCCCAAGCTTGGCAGCTCCCCCCTGAATTTCGTGTCCAGCGGTGGGAATCTTTGGATGGATTGGTGCCTTCGCTGCTGATGGTATTGATGATCGCCATCTGTGGGTCGGCGGGGAGTGGGGGCTGCTGAAACGGTAGCTGCTGTCTTCACGGAGATCCCCGGGGCTACAGTTTCTGATTTCCCCTCAGTGTCTCTTCGGTTGTAGTCCAAGGTGTTGGTGTGGCCCTGGGATTCAGGGTGCTCCTCCACGAGAGAGGGTTCTTTTCATCAGGTCAATAGCTTTCTCTAGGATCCAGTTTGAGTGCTGTGTGCGACCTTCTTCCTCTTCGCTAAGGTGCAGGGATTTCTCCATCTCTTGCTTCCATCTGGGTTGGTGGCTGCCCCGCCTCAGGGTCACTTTCCCCAATACTTTTTCCCACTCGCCTTTCTTGCCAACGCCCATTGACCACCGAGGTTTGTGGTTGCGCGTGTCCACCACTTCTTCTGAGGAGTATGACGTCTCAGATCCCAACAACTGCCAGAGGGAGGGCTCCCCTTTCATGGTGGGTTCTTCATTTCCTGCCCCGTCATCCGACATTGTAGTTTTTGCAAAGTCCCCCGTTAAGGGTTTTCCTTCCAGGTTGACTATTACTGCAGATCCTGTCTAATGTAAGGACCCACTTTAATCTCACATCTTAAGAAAGCAGAACTCTTGGAGACGGTTTCCTCCAACAGGAACTTTTATTAAAAGTAGTTGATAGCAGGCATAATAGACCTGAGGGATTCCTTTACAGATCGATACTTTAAAGTGTCCCCAAGCAAACCCCACCCCACAGTTCATCCAGACAGTTCAGACCGCCCAATCCCCAGGTGTTAAGTCCATCGTGGGAAAGGGGAGATAACATCAGTCCTGCTCCGGTTGTAGCACAATGTTCAAGCAGCTCTTCACATCTCCTTTTGAGACCGGAGAAATAAGCCAGGCTCCAGAGGTTGTATTTCTTTCTCCCCCCACCTTTTCCTAGCTGACAGATTAGGGCAGGGCTTTTCAACCTTTTCACCTATTGTACCACTTTTAGGATATGGCGATATCTGAGTACCACCAGTCACCTAGCAAGATGTCAAAAACTTGATGACCCCCCCAAAAAGGAAAAAAGTGATGAAGTACAGGTAGTCCTCACAACAGTTTGCTTAGTGACTGTTCGAAGTTACAATGGCACTGAAAAAAGTGCCTCCCAAGCCACAACCGAGCAAGACACCTGCCTACCCGCCCGGCGGCGCTCTTCCTCCTGTCCGAGGTTTTCATTGTTGTGAGCATTTCTGTTGAGGATTGGCAGCAGGGGTGGGGTGGAGGGGTGTTTGGTTTTTATTCCCCCCATCTGCTGGGTGGTTGCAGCAGGTTTTGGTCACTTCACATGACCCTGGGACACTGTGACCGTCATAAATATGAATCAGTTGCCAAGCATCTGAATGTAAATCACAAGACCCTGGAGATGCTGCAACATTCCAGCTGATCAGCGCTTCTTCTGAGCTCAGCAGAAGCGCCAGGATCAGCGCTGAGCTTGAGCTGGAGCCTGGCGCTGATCCTGGCGCTTTCACTGAACCCTGACAGTCCCAAAGAAGTGCTGATCCTGGTACTTCCGCTGAGCCCTGACAGCCCTGCAGCTCCATCCGTCTCTCGCTCAGGCTTGTGCGGTACTGCTACCGGTTCAGCTCATTCCCCTCCCCCACTACCATTTTTCTAGGATGGTCGCGTACCACCTGCCAGGTGCCAATGTACCACAGGTGGTACCCGTACCACTGGTTGAAAAGCCTTGGATTAGGGAAAAGAAAGTTCAGAGAGAGATACAGTGTAGGAAGCAAATTGTTACATTGGGCAGCGGACACAGGCAATAAACAAAGCAAAAGGTTACATTGTAGCGAATAGAGGAAGCGAAAACAATAATTCCACAGGCATATCCCCCCTCCCCCTTGGGAGTATGGCAGAACCCAGGGAAAAGTGAGATTTGTTTTTAGATCAGAGGAGATAGATAGAAATGAAATAGAAATGGGTTCTGACACCTATCTTAGAAAATAGCCAAGGCATTAAGAAATGCAAGGTGTTAAGTCTCTGAGTGAACAAAAATAATGGAGTTTTCTGAAGTAATGAAACAAGAACATTTAGTAAGAAGACTTCAGTAGCCATTGAAATAATTTATTAAATCTAGAAATGTAATAGATTTATATTTAAAGTAAACTTTGAAATCACCATTAGCGTAGGTACTACAGGTAGTCCTCGACTTATGACCACAATTGAGCCCAAAATCTATGTTGTTACATGAGACATTTCTTAAGTAGTTTTGCCCCATTTTACGACCTTTTTTGCCACAGTTGTTAAGTAAATCATTGCAATTGTTAAGTTAGTAACACGGTTCTTAAGTGAATGTAGTTTCCCCATTGAGTTTGCTCATCAGAAGGTCACAAAAGGGGATCACATGACTCCAAGACACTGCAGCCATCATAAATATGAACCAGTTGCCAAGCATCCAAATTTTGATCATGTGACTGTGCAGATGCTGCAAGCATGAAAAATGGTCATGTCACTTTTTTAGTGCTATTGTAACTTTGAACGGTTACTAAATGAACTGTTGTAGGTCGAGGACTATCTGTATTAAATTGTGCTTGTAATAATTTGGTTTTAACTTCACTTTATGTTATTTGAGATCCCTTCAGGACTCTTTATACCCAGCATGGCTGTAGGAGCAATAGCTGGTAGAATTGTTGGAATTGGTGTGGAACAGTTGGCCTACCATCATCACGACTGGATCATCTTCAGAAATTGGTGTAGACCAGGAGCTGATTGTGTTACTCCAGGACTATATGCGATGGTGGGAGCTGCTGCGTGCTTAGGTACCGTATATTATTCTTTTGTTGCAATTGTTGTTCTGTATGATATAGTGCAGTATCTGTTTATACCCATACATTTTGCAGTTTAAAAAGTCATGAATATTGTACCTAAAGATTCCTTGGACTGAAGGCACCATATCCATTTGGGAATGAGGAAAACCAAGGCTGTACACTAATTCAATGAATGATGCCCCTGGGTATCATGCAGTACAACTGCAGAGCTGCCTTTGTGTTTTGGTTTATAGAAGAATGTTAACATTTTATAGTTGATTCCACTTATGAAACCGCATGTCAGGTTGCAAAAACTCAGAGTGGTATCTTCTATGACAATCCTACCCAACAATTTTTTTCTTTTGACAGGTGGAGTTACCAGAATGACAGTTTCACTTGTCGTGATCATGTTTGAATTAACAGGAGGACTAGAGTATATTGTGCCTCTTATGGCTGCAGCTGTTACTAGCAAGTGGGTTGCTGATGCTTTTGGCAAAGAAGGGATCTACGAAGCACATATCCATTTGAATGGCTATCCATTTCTGGATGTAAAAGATGAATTTACCCATAGAACACTGGCTACTGATGTTATGAGGCCCAGGCGTGGAGAACCTCCTCTTTCTGTCTTGACTCAAGACAGCATGACTGTGGAAGATGTGGAGACATTAATCAAGGAAACAGATTACAATGGTTTTCCAGTGGTGGTTTCTAAAGAGCGCCTTATTGGCTTTGCACAGAGACGGGACTTGATTCTTGCAATAAGTGAGTTGCATCTGTTTCATGTAGAGGTGATTAGATTTATGGGTGGCCTAGAAGAAAGTTAGGTAAGAAATGAATTGTGTGCAACAGTATTCTAAACTTAAAAGATCCCAATGTCCTCTCAGATCTTTGCATTTAATTTTCCCTTTGCAAATTAGCCTTTAGAAAATTTTGATTATTTTAAGAATAACAGAATGTTTCCTTTTTTGTTACTTTTTGTAACAAAAGAAGTATTGCAATATATATTAACAATTATATTCAGAAATAGATTGAATGTCTATACAACTCTTCTGTCTTCTTTTTCTTATTCTTTTCAAAGTTAAAGCAGAACTATAGTAAATTGATGCATAGAGGAAGGTGAGAGAGATGAAAGCAAACTCACTGCAATTACAAAACTAGACATATTTACCATAAGAAGACAGGGCAAAAGTCAATAATTTAAATAAAATATAATAAATTACATATAGGCTTGAAAGCTGCTTGGAGTATGATGGCAGTTTGGGATTTGCTAATTTTCATTTCATGGCTGTTATAAGATGAGTTTAAGTGAGACATATACAGTACAGCGCCAATGTGTTAGAAACTGACAAGGTTCTATTATCAGAGGTTAAGAGTTGATTTTAGTTCCATGATTGATGGAAAATAGTTCAAAGGGAGAGAGAGAAAAACTTGCACTGAAAGCCGCTTCTGAATATTAGCATCAAGCAAGAAATATCATTAGTTAGTCTTTGTTTTTGAACAGAGGATATTTTTTAAAAGCCTATTAGCGTTCTGGAGATTTTAGTATTCCTACACACTGAAAATAGAAGGAAAGTGAAATGGCTACATTATTCAGCAGTAATTGTGCTGTGATATTGCTGTGCACAGCCATAAGAGAGAAAGGCCAATATAATGATAATATGTGCTTCAATTAGCTGAAAGATATATATCAATACTGAGCTTAACGAAGAGTGTAATTTAAAAGTCAAATAGGCACTTTCCTAAAATAAGGTTTAAGCTGATTAAGTTTACCCGTTGGCAATCACTTCAAGAATGTGACATTTAATTCTATTCAATAATCATAGTGCTAAGCCAACAACAAGCCACAGTATGGTTTCATGTTATATATGCTACTATTAGACTTCGTAATCCTTTGCCACTTGCATCCCTTCCTAAACTCAGATTCCCTTCTATGTTCAAACTAATTAGTTTGTTGTTTTATCCAAATACTATCAACAATATTTTGCTCTTTCACAAGATTTTATTCCTTTATTCAATCTTCTGGACTGCCCAATATGCAAATATGACTTCTGAAAGGCTTGTCTGTGTCTGGAAAGCAATTGTTTGTGAACCAACAGATGAATTGGGTGAAAGAAAGCTTGTGAGACTCCGTTGTAAGTTGCTTCAGAGCCCCTACAAGATACTGCTTTTGTATACCTTTCCCAAATATAAGATAAAATAACCCTAAACAGGGTTAAAGATAAATGATGGTGTGCATTGGCTCTACATTTTTCAGTTAAAATGATTAGGGGTATGCTCCAAGTCCTTTCTATTGAACAGTGTCATCTGGTGAGACCTAACTGGTGAACCTTCCCTCAAGAGCTGGAGGACCCCTAGTAATTTAAATTCAGGAAGAGTATGTAAACCTGGCTCTTCTGTCAATCACTGGGCCAAGATGAAAGTTTAACACAGTGTAATGTATTGTGTTAAACTTATGGAACAGTTGCAGAGATTTTTGCAATGACTGTTAGCAGACCACGTGGCCTGCTAGCCAGACTTGCTGTCTGCAAGGTTGATTAGTATGCATTTGAGCGGGAGAATATGGTGTATTCCTTGGCTGACGCCGCCCAAAGCTGAATGTATAAATAGGGGTGGAGCCATGGTTGTTAGTTTTCTGTTTTGACCTTCAATAAAGAAGTACCTGTTTACTACTGCTGCCTCTTCAATGCTGAACCAAGCAGAAAACAGAACATTGGTGATGAAGGTAGGATCGTGCTGCCGCAATTCGAAGAGCTGAGTCTCTACGGGGAAAAGGCCTAGCAAGTGCTTGGTCAGAACGGAGTTCCACCCCCACCCCCCGCCCACTCTATCCTGCCAGTATGAAAACACTGGAGGAGAGTGCTTCCAAGGACCAGCCCTGGAAGTCCCACGGAAGCCTGCGCAGCACAAGGCATTGAAAAGGCCGCCAAAGACTCACCATGGCGAAGATAGGTCGACTCTCAGAATTCGATGTTGCTCATCCGGAGAGGTGGAGCTCCTACGTTGTGAGGGTTGAAAATTACCTACGTGTTAACCAGGTTCATGAAGACGGGTTGAAGGTCGCGACACTGTTGTGTGTTTGCGGTCAAGCAACATTCAACATTGCAGAAAACTTGGTTGCACCAGTGCCACTTGAGTCCATTGCATACACAGAACTGAAAAAGATGCTCAAGGAACATTTTGAGTCTATGCTTTCGGTCATCGCTTGGTGACACGCCTTTGAACAGCAAGACCAGCGGCCCGGCGAGTCCACCGCCGATTTCATAGCTGCCCTTTGCCAAGCTGCACGGCCATGCAAATTCAAAGATCTTGAAGAAAGGCTGTGGGGCCGCTTAGTTTGTGGTCTAAGGAGCCGAGAACTACAACAAAAGATCTTTGCTAAAGAGACTGTCTCCTTTCAAGACGCGTTGAGGGAGATAACAGCTGAAGAAGCAGCTGGCGGAGCTGTTAAGGCCTTACAGCTCTCCAAGAACCCCCCTTGCTTGGAGGCCATCCACCACGAGGACGTCGAGAGGGTTGAAGATTCTGAATCGGACCATGAAGTCGATCGGTTGCAGCAACCCCCGGATAGAAGGTCTCAACGGCAACCTGACAAGGTAGTTTCCTTCCTTCGGTGCATCAGGTGCAGAGGCTGTCACAAACGGGCTGACTGCCGGTTCCGCACAGCAACTTGCTGGGCATGTGGCAAGCAAGGCCACATTGCCGCCGTTTGTTTGGGTCGCAAAAAAGAACATGGATCAGAAGATTTGCCTCAGAAAGATACCGGGGTCCCCAGTCAAAACCGGGTGGGTTTTTGCACGAGTAGAAGGAGCATGTGTAGGACAGGCGCCCATTGCCCACTCAGGAAGAAGTTACACCTCAAAGTCAAGTTGTACAGGGTTCCTTCTGACATGGAGTTGGACACGGGTTCAGCTCTATCGATAATCTCCCAAACAACACTCCAGCAGATTTGAAGTAGAAGCGGCAAACGAGTTAAGCTCAGGCCGTCGAACCACATCTTAACGGACTTCCAAAAATTCCTGGGTAAACGTAAAGGGGGAGGCCATACTTGGGGTGCAGTTCAGGAACTTTGAGGGTCCCTTGGATGTCGTAGTTGTTGAGGGCAACCACACAAGCCTAATTGGACTTGATTGGTTTGATGCTTTGGGAATTCAGGTGACTGGGTTAAATAGTTTGCAAACGCCGAGCCTCTCGGCAGTGTGTAAAGAGTTCGCTGATGTTTTCAGCTCAGAGTTAGGGGCATAAAAAGGGCCTCCAATTTCCCTCCGGCTTGACCCTAAGATAGCACCGATTAGGATTAAGCCTCGTCGGGTGCCTTTTGCCTTGAAGCAGAGAATCAATGCAGAGCTGGACAAACTGTTGCAGCAAGGCATTTTGGAGCCAGTGGACAGCAGTCCATGAGAAACTCCCATTGTCACGCCACTTAAGGCCAACGGAGAAGTTCGCATTTGTGCCGACTATAAATGCATGCTAAACAAAGCTCTCCAGCAGCACTCCTATCCAGTGCCTGTGGTCAGCCACATCTTGGCTTCACTACAGGGAGGTCGCATTTTCACCAAATTAGATTTGGCACAGGCCTACCAGCAGCTGTCGGTGGACGACGCCACAGTGGAGGCCCAAACCATTGTAACCCACCGGGGAGCCTTCAAGGTGCAACGGTTACAGTTCGGGGTTAATGTAGCCCCTGGAATTTTTCAGACCGTGATGGAGCGCACGCTCCGTAACATTCCAGTTGTATGCCCATATTTTGATGATGTCCTCATAGCTGGGGAATCAGTCGAAAACCTCGCTGATAGGCTCTGGGCTGTTTTGTGGCATTTCCGCGAAGTGGGGCTGAAGCTCAAACTGGAGAAATGCAAAATTGGAGTCACTTCCACAGAATTCTTGGGGTTTCATATAGATGCCGAAGGCATTCATCCTGCTGAATCCAAGCTCAAAGCAATTCAGCAGGCACCCAGTCCCAAGTCGAAGGGAGAGCTTCAGGCCTTCCTGGCACTCCTTAATTTCTACCATGCTTTCCTCCCCACAAGGCCACAGTGGCAGAGCTGTTACACCGGCTCTTGGACAAACAGGCCCCATGGAAGTGGACAAGTGTCCACGAGAGGAATTTTGCTGCACTTAAAGCATTGTCCTCAAATGCGGTGTTAGCTCATTTCAATGAGCAGTTGCCAGTCTGCATCGTGTATGATGCATCCCCTTACGGATCGGAGCTGTGTTAAGCCATCTTAGGGCTGATGGGACACAAGTCCCTATAGCTTATTACTCCAAGGCTCTTTCTGTTGCAGAACGCAATTATGCACAAATAGATAGGGAGGCATTGGCCATTGTGGCTGGCATACAAAAGTTTCATGACTTTTTGTATGGCCGCCACTTCACGGTCTTCACTGACCACAAGCTGCTTGTGGGGTTGTTCACTATGAACAATCAGACACCCCAAATTATCTCTCCCAGAATATTGAGGTAGTCAATAATCCTATCTGCTTAGGACTATTGCCTGGTTCACAAACCGGGTAAAGAAATGGGCCATGCTGACGGCCTTAGTAGGTTGCCTCTACAGCTATTAGAATCAGATCCTGCTCCGGCCAACCACATCCTGGCTATCCAGGATTTGCCAGAGTCTCCCCTCAATGCAGAGGATGTTGCTGCAGAAACAGCTACTGACAACACATTGAGCTGCGTGTTGAATTGGGTGCTCAGGCCTGAAATGTGTTCTAGCTCTAACTTCCAGAGTTTCTGGAAAAGGGAGCATGAGTTATCCACCTTTAAGGGTTGTGTCCTGTGGGGTAGCAGGGCAGTAATCCCGACCTCACTGAGGATTAGAGTCCTTGATTCTCTGCATGAGGGACATCCGGGCATAGTCTGGATGAAGGCGCTCGTGCGTAGCTACCTCTGGTGGCCTGGATTCGATAAAGACATCGAGGCCCAGGTCCACAGGTGTCACATTTGCCAGCAGTCAAGGCCAGAAATGCCACATAGATGGGAGACCACACAAGCCCCTTGGTCAAGGATTCATATCGACTTTGCTGCCCCCTTTCAGGGGCAACTCTTCCTCATTGTTGTGGACAGTCACTCCAAATGGCTAGAGGTCATTCCAGTGTCCACTATGACTACTGCCAGGACCATCCAGGTGCTGAGGGGCATCTTTGCAACGCATGGGCTCCCAGATGTCATAGTCTCAGACAATGGAGCTCAATTTACGTCCTCAGAGTTTCAGTCCTTTTTGAGGGCAAATATGATTAGGCATGCCACTTCGGCTCCTTGTCACCCGGCCTCTAACGGCCAAGCAGAACGCATGGTTCGCACAACAAAGGAATCCTTGAAGAGGATCACCCATGGCAATTGACATCACAGGTTGGCAGACTTCCTACTCTGCCAACGCACAACGCCTGCACTTCTACGGGCAAGAGCCCAGCTGAGCTAAGATGGGGGCACCGTCTGATCACAAAGCTGGATTGCCTACATCCAGACAGGGTTGCTTCACAAGTGCCGCAGCCTAAGGCACCGAGGCACTTTCAAGTGGCTGATCTGGTTTGGGCACGCAATTATGGATCAGGGGCACTGTGGGTGGTAGCTGTGGTTTGCAAGGTGTCAGGGCCGCTCTCATACGAAGTGGCCCTGGAAGACGGTTGTGTACTCCACAGGCACATTGACCAGCTGCGTTGGAGGTTACCACACCACTCTTCTGCTCCTGACTCTGCTCTCGGGGGGGGAGGAACACAATCGCGATCGTGAATCTGAGTCTCTCAGCGAAAGCGGAACATTGCGCTCGCCAAATGGGGGTTTGGCCAGCGAGGCTGCTCCTAACTCAGGCACTGTGTCCATGGGACATTGCTCTCAATCGGCTTTTTACGCCGCTCCTACCTCAGGCATTGCGCCAACAGGACATTGCTCTCAATCGGCTTTTCATGCCGATCCGGTGGATTCTTCTCCACCGCAGAACTCTGGCTCGGGCCTACCGGAACAGGCCGGCCATAGGGAAATGGACAAAGACTTGGGTCTACCAGAACAGGCCAGCCTTCACAAACCGGCTTTACCCGTATCGGACGGGTCACTCAGCCCCGGTCTGCCGAGCCTGGCAGGTGAGCTTGCAGATCGGGAGCTAGCAGCAGCTCCGAGATGCTCGGAGCGGGCGAAAGGCACACCAAAGTTTTTGAAGGACTACTTGAGGTTTTTGTCACTGCAAACTTAAAATGCTTATGTATTTTTTAGTGCAAACTGAAATCATTTATGTAGGTTCTTGGAACTTTTGATTGTCTATGTACTTAAATGTATGTGCCTTCTTACAACCTGCAATATTAAGTATTCTTAATATTGACAATGTATTGTAAGGACTTTTGTACCACTGAGTGCCATTATGCCCTTTTGAATGTATGTGATCTTTGAACAACCAACAATATTTTGTAAGTGTCAAAGAACTAGGGGGGAAGGGTGTAATGTATTGTGTTAAACTTATGGAAGAGTTGCAGAGATCTGTGCAAGGACTGTTAGCAGACCACGTGGCCTGCTAGCCAGACTTGCTGTCTGCAAGGTTGATTAGTATGCATTTGAGCGGGAGAATACGGTGTATTCATTGGCTGACACCGCCCAAAGCTGAATGTATAAATAGGGGCGGAGCCATGCTTGTTAGTTTTCTGTTTTGACCTTCAATAAAGAAGTACCTGTTTACTACTGCTGCCTCTTCAATGCTGAACCAAGCAGAAAACAGAACACACAGCACATGTGAATTTGGGATAGAGTATTCTGGTGCCTTGGGTCTGTGTCCTGGTTTAATTTTGTTCAGTTTTGCTTTTTGTTGTTGTGAGCATCAGGATTGAATTGTAGCAGCCAATCTTTTAAATAAATGAATACATTTTTATTTATTCCTGTGGAGTTGAAGAGGCTTTTGAGGATCTCCTTGAATCTGCTGTCATATTGAATGTAGCAGAAAAGTTCTATTAAATGATACTGTCACAATGAAAACTACAAGGCTGCAGTGATCCAGTTTCAAAGGGTTAGGATTATTCAGAATTTCATTTGACACTTTTAACAAAATGCACTGTTCTTGGGCTTGTGCAACAGGTATAGAGGCAACTGCAGAAGCCCAGGAGAAATTAGAGATTCTTATAGATGAAAATCTTGCTTGCTCTGAAATATCTTCTCTCTGTAGCCTTAAGGTAAGCAGCTTGGTTTGTGACCAGTGAAAGCAGAAATGCAGCAATCTACTTCATCTCTTCTTCTTTGCTCCCATTAAAGGAATTCAAATCAGTTAATTTGAACAACAGGGACAAAGTCATCTTTGCCTCTTTTTTTGAGACTTTGTAGTTTGTGTGAATGCATGCAGATGGATTTCTATAGGTCTGAAGCTTATGGCCTCAGATATGAAAGGGTGCTGATCATATAGACAATGTGGTATTCTAGAGAAATTATTTTATATCAAAATTATCCCTAAAAAGGGGAGCTGGGATAAATCTGGCATCAGCATTAGTGTGCTGGGACAGATGCACTTACTAACCATCCTGATCTTAGAAGAACTATTAAATGATCAGAAAACAGTAACTATTTTTCTCTTGAGACAGATGTGCAATAGTCCTTATATGTCTGACTTTTTCATACAGAAAATGCAAGGCAGTGCCAGGATGGCGTAGTAAGCAATTCAATTGTATATTTTACTGAAGAGCCTCCAGAGGTCCCTGCCAATAGCCCTCATATGCTGAAGCTCCAGCGTATTTTGAATCTGAGCCCCTTCACTGTCACAGACCACACACCAATGGAAACAGTGGTAGACATTTTCAGAAAACTTGGACTCAGGCAGTGTCTTGTCACACATAGTGGGTAAGTATATAAATTATTTTTGTTTTTAAAAATACGGTATTTCTGTTGAAGGGGAGGGGCTTATTTTTTGGAAAAAATAATTCCAATCCTCTCCATATACATGTAATGTTAGACCTGGAAAATGAGCTGGCTTGGATTACAAGGGATTCAAGTCTGTGTTTATAAACAAGTAGCAATGCAATTTTTGAAAAATAAGTTAAAACTAAAGTGAAATAAAAGAAGGTACAGGGTGCCTTTAAGCCCCTTCATAATTTTTCAGTAACAATATTAAAGCAAGAATGTAAGGAAAAGATGCCATTGAAATAAAATAACAAATGCCCCAAATTATTAGCTACCGTATTAATGCTGTTTATAATTCATTTAGCTAACAAAGGCCTACCCTCTAGCTGAGAGCATAATACATAATACATAAATTCATAATACATGTATGTAATTAAGCTTCATATTTTGGTAAGCTACTGCTAAATATGTATTATTTTAATCTTTAAAAAAAACTATTGCTGCTAAGGAGAAATGCCAGCCACATGTAATTGTTAGCAAAACTTTTGCTAACGTTTTAGCTTTTATCTAGACTTACAGTAAACACTTATGGAAATCCCTGCATGAATGATGCATTAAGGGAATTAACTAATGGTTACATTTTGAGAACATGTATTTTCTTAACAGGGATGTTATTATTTACTATTAATGTTAGTACTATTTTTACTATTATTATTATTATTTAATATATTGTAAAAAGTGATGGCTATTGCTGGTCTATGACCGTAATAAAGTTTATTATTATTATTATTATTATTATTATTATTATTATTATTATTATTATTATTATTATTATTATTATTATTATAACTAATGGAGTTTTATTTTTTTACAAACTGAAAGTCCATGGGATTTATAAACCTATAACAAGGTAAGGAATGAAAAAATAAGAGACAGAAGCTAAATTGAATGAAACAGACCCTTGAATGTAGAATATGTCCCTCAAAAGCTCAATCATTCTGGAGCAATGAGGGAAAGCAAGATGCAGTGCTGGAAGTGGTGAAGACCTACTGAAGCTATAAACCAAGGCTAGAGGAATATTTAGTGCTTTTTCCAATTTCCTCATTGGCTGAAAAGTAGACAGATTCTGTTTTTGATAAACAACATTTATACACTAATACTTATAAGGGGCAAAAGTTAGGAACCTGTCCCGCCAACAGTTTCCATATCAGTACAATTAAATTTCACATTAAATTAATGACAGTGTGTTGCCTTATACTATTCTGATAATATGAAAACTGTCAGAGAAGGAATATTCATAAGAATAATTTAAGTCAACTGAAATTAATGAAAACTTATTGCCTTACACTTAGAAGAGACTAAATGCCTGGGACATTGTGAATTTGACCCAGTCATAGAAAGATGCTGCAAACAGAGCAGTATCTAAGTGTAGAGAAGACAGGAAGGCTATTTATTTGCACAACAAGCTTGAGGGGAAAAACTGAGCCATTTGGAGCCAACAAAAGTCAGTTTGTTGGCCAAACAAGCTTTGTTGTCTTTGCCCAATGCCATCTCTGCCCTTTTAGCCAATCTACACAGTGGCACTCTTTGATGGTGGCACTAGAGCTGACGTAGAGTCCCAGGGCCAGCTGTCATTGCCCCCAGGTATCTATTTCATCCTCAGTAGCCCCTCCTGCCAAGATGTGCCATCACAAGTCCCATGCCATGGCCAACCTCCTCAGTGCCACAGCACTGTTTAGAACAGTAGGGTCAATTATTTGAGGCATTGGACTGTTATAATTAGCACTGATTATTCAAAGGGTTTTGTTATCAGGGTAACTTAGTAAGTCTGTATTACATACAGTTAAGATTAGCTTGACTATTAATTTTACTTATATTTTTACCATTGTTTTTCAGTTTTCTTAGCAGCTATAGCAACCCCCCTCTAAAATAATTGATAAAAACTCATGATAGATAGAATGAACATATATTTGAGAACTTCAATCCTTTTGCATTGAAGCATGCCTGTGAGAGAAAGGGGAGAGCATATAATTCACTGGTTTTGCATGAAGCTTTCTTTAAATGTGATGTATTGGCATTCAGGTCACAGTTCAGGAGCCTCTGCCTTCAAGGTTTTTGCAATACTTTGATGTATCAGCCTCTTTATGCCCTGCGCTGAGCTTCTTCTGCTTTGGCCTGGAGGATCCCAACAGTTTCTGGAAATGGTTTGGGAGAGGTGATGTAAAGTTGGACAAGTTTGAGCCTGCTCAAGAAATAGCCTTAACTAAGTGCATTGAGGAATGCAGCTGGGTAGAATGTGGTATCTTTATCCCTTTGCCAAAGGCTGAGAAAAATGTAATGAAAGCTCTGTATTCATAAAAGCAATGCATTGTGACAAATTTTTTTTTCAGTTCATAAATGCAACTCATTCTTTTTTTAAAATTCCCATTTCTTCGTTTTTAAAAAAGGGAAGAGCAGGGTGTCTTTTTGAAACTGATTGTTTTGTGTTGTAAGTTTTACCTGCAGCAGAATTTGAAAAATGAACAAGACAGGCTAATGATTAATCACAGTTTTGTTTCTTTCCTTTCCTTCTTCTCTAGGAGGCTGCTGGGCATTATCACCAAAAAGGACGTGTTAAGGCATATGGCTCAAATGGCAAATCAAGATCCTGAATCCATCATGTTTAACTAGGCTGTTCCCAAGGCTGTTTTCCTAGTTAAAGGAAAAGATTCCTATTGAACTGATTGAAAGGAATTCGAATAGCTCTTCATTTTTTGTTAAAATAAAATTTAAATTAATACAACTTTGTTAAGAGCAGAACCCAGGGAAAATTATAACAAACTGAATATTTGAGTTGTTGGTAAATGTATTTGAAAATTCAATTCAGCTATGGGCTGTTTTTCCTGGCAACATGTTTCCTGGGAACATATTGTCATAAATACAGTCCTTACCATGGCACATTTTTCTCCTTGTCCTGCCTATCGTATCCCATTAATATAAATGCATTTATATTATTTTTATCTGCGTTAATCATCTTTACAAACATTTGGGAGCAGAGAGAAGCCATCATCTTGATAAAAGATATTTAAAACAGCAAGCATATTTATGCCTACAATATAATCAAGAATGCAAAATGTTTTCATTACACATGCCCTATTTCATATTTCTTAAATTTGGATTCCCAAATTAGGTTATTTTCTAAAGCTGCATACTTTTGTGAAGAATGTTCTTGCTTTTACTATTATTGCAGAAGTTCATAGATATTGTAGAAGTAAAGGGGTATTTCAGTTCACTTTTAGTGCTATTGTTTAGTCTTGAGTTATTCTGTTCATTTGTAATATGATGAAATAATCTGCAAATTCTGTCATTTTTTATGATGAAATTTTTTTCTTACTGTTTTTCCATACACGAGTATGATGTCATAGGGTTATATATTTTCCAGCATAACTGACATTAAATTGCAATTCTGGCCACACATTTTTGTCAAAAAGTATTTTGAACAATAAGCTTCAGTATTCCTAGACAAAAAAAACACATTATTGTTTTTTTCTATAGAGGAGAAAAAGCATATTAACACAGTTTTTTTTAAAAAATGTATTCATTCTTTCTGGAAATATTGTATATTTATTTTATGTCACAAATAGATTTTACAGTATGAAATATTTTATAAACCATCTTAGAATCAGTTTAACTGATTTTTATAGTTAAAAGTACAAACAAGTTTGAAGTTTGGACATGAATATGATAAATAAAATATTTGCCATAGATAATCTTCATATTACATGTCTCAGGCATTTGATTTTTGGGGTGCTCATTTATTACTAGTTCCTAGAAGAAATATGTTGAAATGGGCTCCAGGAAACATCAAGATGGTTTCCCAGCTTGTAACCCCACTAACATTAGCACATATTCTATATTATCTAGTTTGTTGATAAATTTATTGACTGATGTATATATGAAATCTACTTCTTGTGTAAGCATGTTCGATATTTTGCCAAAAGATTACCCAATTGAAGAAACCATGGCTCTCTATGCCTGGAACAAAAAGATTTGATATTAAGTTGCTTATGACAACATGGTATTGGTTTTAAGATTTATCAATATATCACTGTCTGGACACATCACCCAATTTTAGAGATTGGGAATAACAATAATTAGAATTAAAAATAATTTAATAATTGACAGGATGTTTTTCAGAATTTATATAGGAGACTTACCTTTATAGAAGAACACCAGAGAATATCTATTGTGTTTCATTAAAAATGCGGTTTTCTACTTTTTCAAATGACAGAAAATAATAGAACAATAACATTTGGAAAATAATAAAAAATTTCCAACTTTTGAAAAGTTATTAACTATCCCTGCCTTTTAATACAAAGAAATGGCTCTTCTGTGAGAAAGTCTGTGAATTTTCATTTTCATTCTTCATTTTTATCATTCAGATTCAGAATAAGCAATAGCCAGTATAAATTCAAAATTTACATTATAAATGACATTTTTGGCAGAGCCATCATGGCACAGTGGTTGGAATGCAGTATTGCACACTAACTCTGCTGATTGCCAGGAGTTTGACCCTAACCAGCTCAAAGTTGACTTAGCCTTCCAGCCTTCCAAGGTTGGTAAAATGAGGACCCTGATAGTTGGGGGCAATATGCTGACTCTGTAAACCGCTTAGAGAGGGCTGTAAAGCACTATGAAGTGGTCCATAAGTCTAAGTGTTATTGCTATTCCCTGCTGCTTTGGCATTGGAAGAATTCAGTGTAAGTTTGTGACTCTTAAGACTATACACTATTTCAATTCACCTTGTCAGATGAAAACTGCAAGAATTCCAATTAGCATATGTTGAGAATTCATGCAGTATTGAAGAATATTGACATAGATATATATGAGCCAGGGTGGCGCAGTGGTTAGAATGTAGTACTGCAGGCTACTTCTGCTGACTGCTGGCTGCCAGCACTTCAGCAGTTCAATTCACTCAGCCTTTCATCCTTCCGAAGTCGGTAAAATGACGACCCAGATTGTTGGGAACAATATGCTGACTCGATAAACTGCTTAGAGAGGGCTAAAGCACTATGAAGTGGTATATAAGTGCTATTGCTATTGCTATATCAGTGGGTTCTAGGTTGAGCAAAGGCTATGCAGTTTCCCTGTATTGTCTGGCAAAACACAGAGTACCCAAGGAAAACAAATAAGACCTTGCAAAAGAGTATTGATCTTTCATTATCTGAATCCTAGAGAGGGTGTTTAGGTGTACAGTTTCATGAAATATTATCATACTATGTGAAATAGATTAAAACCAGTGAACTTGGTATATTCTGTAAAATATGGGATTAAGTGTAAAAAAAAGTCCCCTAACTTGTGCAAATCACACTACACTAAATAACTTTGCACTGCATGCTGGATGACAGTATAGGCTGATATATTTCGTGTCCATCAGTCTCAAATGTTACGTTTTAATGCTGGTATCTAACATTGAAATTATATTTCTCCACTTGGTGTATATTATTTGACATAAGCCAGGTATAAGAATTTTGGAGATGATTTGTTTCCATTCTAATAGAAGCAAAAACATAGTAACATATGAGTAAATAACGATTTATTTAGCTAGAGGTAGATTTACTTTTGGATTTTTTTCTTTTTGAAATGTCTGATTTCATGGGTTGATTTGTAAACCAGAATAATAGAATAACTCACAAATTAATACAATTTAGATATTTGCACAGACAAATAATTCTGATTTTAGATAATTCTTCCTTTCTGAAGCAAAACATCAAAATGCTGTAATATTTTGGAAATATGGTTTGAATTCTTGATACTTTTATTTTTGTGTGGTATAAGATTGAATGCTAAGTGACTTTAAATACTGAATGTCATGGGGTTAATGAAATATTAAGATGAGAAACTGCTAATTTTAAGAGGGTGTCTGAGTCTGATTTCCTCCAACTCAAGAGATAACAGGAAGGATTCCAGATAAAGATTTTTTTTAAACTGAAGTATTTTTAATGAAATTGGTTCATTTAAGAATAAGGTTGGTTGTATAAAAGTTTAAAATTTATTATAATGAAATATATTCAGTGATTTTTATTATATGAAAATGAAGCTGTCATGCCAAATGGTAAATAAACCTTTGATACTGGTTAATGAAAAATAACTGCAATTTTATACAGCATATTGTCTGGGTTCATGTATTTAAAAAATAATAAGTAAGAATTAATTTCTATATTATCATAATCAATATTTTAGTTAATTGCTCAATAGTCTTCTTCTTACTAGTATATATTCAATGTTACATAGTACATATCACGTTCCTTTCTCTCTAACTCGCTTTTCTAGCCATTGATAAAAATTGTCCCATGTTCTAAAGTACACTGAGTTTTCTTTCTCTTTTATCTTTAATGTCAATCTGTCCATTTCTGCACAATCTAAAATTTTCTTAATTAGTTATTCTTCCGTTGGTAAGTTTTCATTTTTCCAATATTGGGCAAATACATTTCTTGCTGCAATTAATACATGTAAAATTAAGTATATACAATCTTTCTCATAGTTTCCTCCTATTATGCCTAACAGTTCTGGCTTGAAATCTATATGTTTTTTAGTCATTTTTTCCAACCATATGTGTATTTTTACCAAAATATTTTAGCTTTAGGGTATGTCCACCAGATATGATAATAAGTACCTGGGTTTTGTTTACATTTCCAACACTTCTTTGATATATTTTTAAACATTTTCGCTAATCTCACTGGTGTTAAATGCCATCTGTAAAACATTTTGTATAGGTTTTCTTTGTAAGCCACCGCTTTCATTAATTTAGTGCAAGGCTTTTCAACCAGTGGTACGGGTACCACCTGTGGTACATTGGCACCTGGCAGGTGGTACGCGGCCATCCTAGAAAAATGGTAGTGGGGGAGGGGAATGAGCTGAACCGGTAGCAGTACCGCACAAGCCTGAGCGAGAGACGGATGGAGCTGCAGGGCTGTCAGGGCTCAGCGGAAGTGCCAGGATCAGTGCTTCTTTGGGACTGTCAGGGTTCAGTGGAAGCGCCAGGATCAGCGCCAGGCTCCAGCTCAAGCTCAGCGCTGATCCTGGCGCTTCTGCTGAGCTCAGAAGAAGCGCTGATCAGCTGGAATGTTGCAGCATCTCCAGGGTCTTGTGATTTACATTCAGATGCTTGGCAACTGATTCATATTTATGACGGTCACAGTGTCCCAGGGTCATGTGAAGTGACCAAAACCTGCTGCAACCACCCAGCAGATGGGGGGAATAAAAACCAAACACCCCTCCACCCCACCCCTGCTGCCAATCCTCAACAGAAATGCTCACAACAATGAAAACCTCGGACAGGAGGAAGAGCGCTGCCAGGCGGGTAGGCAGGTGTCTTGCTCGGTTGTGGCTTGGGAGGCACTTTTTTCAGTGCCATTGTAACTTCGAACAGTCACTAAGCAAACTGTTGTGAGGACTACCTGTACTTCATCAGTTTTTTTCCTTTTTGGGGGGGTCATCAAGTTTTTGACATCTTGCTAGACGACTGGTGATACTCAGATATCGCCATATCCTAAAAGTGGTACAATAGGTGAAAAGGTTGAAAAGCCTTGATTTAGTGTTTCCCATAATCTTTGCCAGTTTTCTAATTCTATATTATGTCCAAAGTTCTTTGCCCATGTTATCATTGTTCTTTTACTGGTTCCTCTTCCATCTTTAAGCTTAACAAATATTTATAGAGTTTCTTAATCAATTTTTCATCTGTTTTTAGCAGTATCTGGTCAA